AAATAAGGTATGCACTGAAATATTATTCAGCCACAAAATGAAAGAAATTCTGACATATCCTACGAAATGGATGAACCTTTAGGACATTATGCTAAGTGAAATAAACCAGTCACAAAATAATACCCATTGCATGGTAATAATTCTATGATGTACTTAGAGTAATCAAAATCATAGATAGTCTACGGTGGCTACAGGAACTACAGGGAGAGGAAAAGGGGGCATTACTGTTTAAAGAGTATAAATTTTTAGTTTTACAAGATGAAAAGAGTCATGGAAATGGATAAGTGGTACTTAACGTACAACATCATGAGTGTATTTAATACCACTAAACCGTACACTTTTAAATGGTTAGCATTATAATCTTTTTTTTTTTTTTTTTGAGACAGAGCCTCCAGCTGTCCCCCTGGGTAGAGTGCCTTGGCATCACAGCTCACAGGAACCTCCAACTCCTGGGCTCAAGCGAGTCTCTTGCCTCAGCCTCCCAAGTAGCTGGGAGCATAGGCGCCCGCCACAACACCCAGCTATTTTTTGGTTGCAGCCGTCATTGTTGTTTGGCGGGCCCTAGCTGAATTTGAACCCGCCACCTTGGGTGTACATGGCTGGTGCCTTAGCCACTTAAGCTACAGGCGCCGAGCCAGCACTATAATTTTTATGTTATTTCTATTTTGACATAATAAAATATACTGAGAAAAAATGAGAAAGGTTCAGAAATGGTAGAGTAATTTGCCCAATGTAATACAGCTAATTCAAAATGTAAACCTCAATATGATGATACCAGTGAAAGTATAGAGAAGTAAAACACAAGTGGTAAAACTAGAGACAAAATATCTATTCACACAATTCAGGACAATTGTTATCACTGGGGAGTATACAGGGTAGTGAGTGGTAGTTGGTTATTTGTTATTTCAAACTAAACATGTCATATACATTTCATAGTAAATTTTAAAACAGTAGGCACTTCAAAAAAGAGAAGTGGTAGGATTGGAAAAAGTTACATAGGACCACTCACGATGCATAAATTCAGGAGCTATATCATAGATGGCCTGTCAGGCTGCTGGTGGCCAACCTGGTACTGATATAAGCCCAGTGAAGGATATGACTGAATGTCAATTAGTGATTATTAAAAGGATTACAAATCAACTAAGTTATGGCTTAGTTACAGGCTAGTAGAATAGGATAGCCCACCCATATTAACATATCATAAATTTTTAATAGTCCATCAAGTAGGTATTTGAATTCCTAAAGCAGGACCACTCATTCTGGCAGCCATAATAGAGGAAAATACCTTCATTCAGGGATTGGAATTAGGAAGATACAGAAATTAAAGAAAGAATGGGAACTGAAGGTTTCATAAAAATAAAGTTAATAATGATTAGTGACAGGATCAAAGGTAAATGAAAGGAAAAGTGAAGGCAGAAAGGGTAGCTGGGAATAAAAAGGGATTGAAGAATTAAAAGATTGTGGGCTGTCGAACAGGAACAATAGTATTGAACAAAGGAAAAGGAGGAGGACAGAAGTCTGTGGTCAGAGAAATTTTAGACTTCAAGAACGCAAAGGCAGAAAAGTTCTAGGTAAGACCAGGTCCAACACAGTAGTCTTCAAATGAATACAAGCCACATAAGTAATTTTAAATTTCCTGGTAGTCAAATGAGAAACAGTGAAATTAATTTTGATAATATATTTTAGTAATATTTAATCTAGTATATTCAAAATTCAACATGTGGTCAATATTAAAAATGAGAAATTTTACATTCTTCTTTGGTAGTAAGTCTTTGACATCTGCTATATTTAACACTTATGGTATATCTCAATTTGTATTAGCTATGTCTCAAGTGCTCAAAAGCTACAAGTGACTCTAGTGGTTACCACAGCGGATTATGCATAGCTACACTGTGTCCATATGGGATACTAGGGATATATCCATATACAGCTTCTCTGAGGAAGTAAAGAAGGAGAAGAAGAGAGGGTGGATCCAGAAATTCACAGGCAATGACTGGATGAAACGAATTGTTGAACCAGATGCTAAATTTTTTTTTAAATGAGGAAATCTGCCCATGAAAACTAGAAACGGTAGCAAAAAGGAAAGCTGTACATGCATTTGCTGCACAAAGGTTACAAGGCCGTTTATAAGGAAATTAACTACCTTGCTTACACTTTGTAGAGTGGCTTTTTTCCAATAAACTCATTTGTACCTAGTATACAAATGGCACTCAAATGTTTGTAAGAATGGCCTCTAAAAGAACCTTTAGTATTCACTAAAGTATTCACTATCTTAAAAGTAAAATCTGATGAAAAGGAAGCATAGTCAACAAAATAGTTTTAAAAATAGGTTTGAAGAGAAATCAAAACACATAAATCCTTTCTCTCTCCGATTTCTTACCCCTTTCTTATCTCGAAGAAAAAAAAATTCTTGTTTTATTAAAGCTAGAAAACATGTTACAGCTATTTAAAAACAATGTATAATACATCATTTCAGGTATGATTTTCAAACTTTTTCATCTTGAGTTATATTAAAAAGAGTTACTAACAAAATGCAATGCCAATGGATCAGGTGTTACTTATGATTTCTTTTGCCTGCATTCTAATGAACAAATGGTGAAAAGAAGAATGAAAATAGGGTACAGATTACAAGAATCAGCAAAAGGCCATAATCCACCCCACAAAATAAAAGTTGGCATACATAAACCACAAACCTGTTTTAGCACTTGGACTTTTATTCAAATCCAGAACAATGAATTATTCCCCAAAGAAGCAAATAACAGATGGGCTTACTAGTCAGAATCTTTGTTTTTCATGTGCTTTAATGTTTGCTTGACAGTTTAACACTGCTAAATCATTTCTCAAAAAATTTACAGAATAACCTCACTGTGTTTCCAGATGACATCAATGTCACTACCATGACTTTCTGAGTATTTTTCCTGTGTTATCTAAACTATTCTCCTCATATCACCCTTGCCTGGCATATGAGTGTTAAAAAAATTATAAACAAAAATAAATCAGGCGGACTGTGCTGTGGCTGAGTAGGGCGCTGGCCCCATATACCGAGGGCGGTGGGTTCGAACGCAGCCCTTGTCAAACTGCAACAACAACAAAAAATCAGGCCAGGCACAGCGTTCAAGCCTATAATCCCTACCAGTCTGAGAGGTCTAGGTGGAAGGATTACTTGAGCTTAGGAGTTCAAGACTAACCTGAGTAAGAAAGAATGAGACCCTATCTCTACTAAAAATAGAAACACCAGCCAGGTGTTGTGGTAGGCACCTGTAGTCTCAGCTACTCAGAAGGCTGAAGCAAGAGGATCACTTGAACCCAAGAGTTTGAGGTTGCAGTGAGCTGTGATGCCACAGTACCTTACTCAAGGCAACAGAGACTCTGTCTCAAAAAAAAGAAAGAAAAAGGAAATCATACGTAATAAGTCCAGTGAAGAGTCAAACTAAAAAACCTTTTAACATTACAAAATAGTATTTCATGATATGCCTATTCCTAAGGTCTGGTTTTCAGCAATGATCAGTAAAGTATCATGCATTGATATCTAAAGAGTTAAGAAAAACTCTTAGAAACATAATAATGAAACCTAACAGTAGTAGGAAACATAAGAATTCATTCCCTAGAATTAAATCTCAACTTTAAAAAAATATTAAATACTCAAAAGCTATGATAACAAAGGAAATGCAATAAACATTATTTTCTTTTTTCCTTTTTTTTTTTTTTTTTTTTTTTTTGGCCAGGGCCAGGTTTGAACCCACCACCTCCGGTATATGGGGCCAGTGCCCCACTCCTTTGAGCCACAGATGCTGCCATAAACATTTTTTGAGCATCATTGTTTGCCACGGTTTCTGCACCTGTTATTTAATTTTCACAGGATCCTATGATGTAGGTAGTATTTCCATTTAATAAATGGAAAAACTTCTACCTGGAAAGAGGTTTAATTTATCCAAGGACTCAGAATTACTGAGTGGTAGAACTGGGATTCACAATTCTACAATTGGTAAGTGGCAGAACTAGGATTCTCTGTTTTTAAAAAGAAACTTAACTTTCTATAAGGCAGCCTTTATACTGTAGCAAATTGAGAATTCTAGGGATGGAACTCTGTCTCAGAGAGTACATGGGAGGATCATTCTCTCTTTTAAGTTAGATCAACAAAAAGGAAATCTATCTTTCTAGGACTTTCTCACAGTTCAAGTGTTAGACTATACTTGAGGCCTCTTCAAGAAGTGCTTCAATGGAGAGGTTATTCATTTCTCAATAGAATCTCTTTTCAACACAGGGGAAATTACCACTAGAAAATTAAAGGGGCAGTATTATAAATGTTATCTACCACAAATATTGACCTTACTTAATTGTGGTTCTTGAAAAATTTTAAATGAAAGCTGTTAGCAATGTAATCACTCATTAAGTCACAATGTTTTATTTTACATTAAGACCATCCAATTCCTCTTACTCTGTTACTTCAAAAGCAAGTATTTAGTGAGCATTACCCTACACTCTACCCTACCTTTAATGTCATTCGTCATCAAGCCACTTTCTATCAACTGTACTCTAAAAGTATTTATCATTATAATATAGAATTATAGGATGAAAACAATTTTGAAAAGACCAAGTTCACATCCTGTTGTGTAAACTGAAATATGCACTATCATATCCTATACATATGCACTATATGTAATCTTCCATTTTACAATTAAAAAAACAGGTAAAATCAGTTACACAGACAATATTTCTTTGTACCTAATCAATAACCATGTCTTTATATAAGTGCTTATTTGTAGATTATATTCTGGGAATGTTTAAACCAAAAATGAGATCACCTTTCAATTGATTGAAAAAGTAATCAATTCTCTACTCCATACAATATTGAACTAGTTTAAAAGACCTGAATCCTTTTCATGGTATCCTGACAAAAGATAGTTTCCATCTTAGGAACTCAATCTTAATTTTATGTGATTCATAATAACAATCACCTGTAATACTCAGATTAGCTTCCCAGACCTTGGTATATGTGCTTGTCTTGGCAACATAAGTATACTAAAATTGGGACAATACAGAGAAGATTAGCATGGCCCCTGCACAAGGATGACACACAAATTCATAACGTGTTCCATATTTTTACAGAATTAAATCTCAATGAAAATCAAGTGAGATGAGAGGAACATATGGGATGGGTAAATTCACCCCTACTGGGTATGGCTCATGCTTATAAACTTAACTCAGTTTGTG